TAAACTCCGACGATGCGTGTTTTGTCCCATGCAAAGGTATGTCCTGTTTCAAGGCAATGCATAGCCACTTCGGAAAAACGGTCATGTCTCTTTGCTGCCGATTGGTGTTCGCGGATGCGTGTGGAGACGGATCTTCCTTTTTTGGCCTGTTTCACGACAACCTGGGGATCCAGTGTCGAAAATTTACTGAATAAACCTACTCATTTTCCGAAAGGACGCCTTTCTTTGAAATCCAACGATGTTTTCGTCAAGAAAAAATCTGGTCGCGGCAACAGCATAGATCCATTGATTAATTATACGGAGTAGGGGCACCTATCCACTTGTCTTTATTATTATTATCACTAAGCCTGTTTAAAAACGACTCCTAATATCATATTTCCATATAACGTGATTTTTGGCTGTATATTAAAGCGACCTATTGAAAATAAAAAGGGGGCGAGCAGATAACTTATGCCTATGGTAACGCATATACCAATCTTCCTCAAATTCTAAGTGCTCTATGATGTTTAATTTTTACTTGCACAACCTTATCTGGTCAAAGCGCCAGTATGGACTGGAGAATAACAAGGAAAATATGGAACATAAGGAAAACGAAAGGAAGGGGAAAACGAAAAGAAAAAGAAAAGAAAGAGGAAAGGAAAATAAAGACGAAAAGAAAAAGGTGAAAGGAAAGTGATAAAGGAAGGAAAGGAAAAAAGGGGGAGGGAGGAAAGGGACAACGAAAAATGAAAATGGAAAAGGTAAATAAAAGGAAAATAACAGGGAAAATTATCAAATTACCCACCGGCTACCTTTCTGCACGAGCATTTCTTGGTAATCAATGTACTTTTTCTTTGTTATAGCACCTGTTTGCATTCCTACAGATGATTGGCGTCAGATTGCATTAATCATACGGACCCTGCACTTTTCATAAGCCGCAGCCATACGGCTCTCGTCTTAATTACCGTTCGGAAGTGCTTTCAAAAACCTCTTGCAGATTACTCTCGGCTGTTTATTAACCCAGATTGTTACCTTCCCAAATAATGCTATTTGCCGGGCGCTTAACAATTAAAATACACATTCTTTTGACGTTTGTTTCGAAAGGTATGAAAGATCTCTAAAGTGAAATACCAGACAACACTTCATAATAAATGTAATGTCCCACGGCCCGTCGAAGCTATTCCGTGCGAATTATTAGCCCCGGTGCATGTGAGAGTCAGGCAAACTGCGAAATATAGTAGTACCAACTAGAAACGCTTTATATTATCGAGTAGCGAAGGAACATTTGTGATGGCAATATGCGTCCAAAATATCCGTCTTCTCCACGGTAACCAAATTTTGCTTATATATACGGATTGCGTCCCCAAAATATAAATATCGTAGTTATGGACCACATATATTCCATTTCTGTGATCAAATTCTTCTGAATATGAGCCATATCTTGGTTGATCTCCTCAACACTGAGACATATTGTAATACTTTTGCATCTTCAATCATGATGATATATACCCTGCAATGCATTTACTCGCATGCAGTCACCAGTTCAACCACGTTTCATAACACTCTACTCAAATTCTTTAGGCAACTCTCTAACGCATGTTAGCTGCACCTTTTCAACAACTTTTAAGGTTGACCTTTAACATATGTATTTTATTGAATCTAACTAACTCTATTTTCAAATATTAATAAGTCAAAGCATCAAAAAACACACGTTCGATATAAACACATGCAACAGCTTACAGGAACCGCATTTTTATAAACGGTGTCAACTATCATTATATACGGGATCTTGGTCTCAGCAATGTTGATAGGACAATATGTAAACCTTCTGTGATGTGTTACCTAGCATTTTTGTCGAGTCAAGATGACGATGTTGAGAATTTATGCTCGAGTAAGCATAAACAGTTAATGCCAGTTTGATCTTACTTATCTGTAGCGAATGAAGAATAACAAAGATGG